AGCGGGGGAGTACATTTCGAGGTGAACTGCCAATCAGGTAAATCGCTGCCAGCGGGGGAGGGTATTTCAAGTGAACTGCAAATCAGGCAACCCGCGGCCAGCGGGAGAGGACATTTCAAGTGAACTTATTTTTATTTGCTACTCATTTAAAGTATAATTTATTTAATCTCTTCTTTTGAGTTGTACGGGGATACTTGGTTAAGCCTGAGAACGCTTGGGAACTTTTGAGTCTGATACAACGAACTGGGCGTCTGAGCCCGGTTGAACCCCTAGAGTATGTGAGGCTGATGAGACGGAGAGAGAGTGACGGGGGTTGGGGGGCCCTACCGCTAAAGGCGAGCCCGAAGAACGGCGAATATTTCTGATTAATTAATCTCATTATAATCCTACCGGCTGCGAGAGTCTTCGGACATGAAACTCATAATGGCCATGCAGCAGGTGAGTGCTGAGGCCATCACCCTGCTGATCGCCGAGGACCTCGAAGGCGGGCACGGCGAGTGAAAGGCGCCGATGCCCTTGGCTTCGGCGAACCGTAGGCGACCCTTCCCCGGGTTTCCTCACACCGTGATAATGTTTGAGGGTCTCGGTCACCTTGGCTTTCCTATATTCATCCGGCGCATCGCGAAACATGTATTCCCACACCTTCAGTCTCTTCGGTCCCAACTTGTGGTACATATCCCTGTTGGTGCGATGTGTGGCACGCGGCTTCTCGAGGCGGCACTCGAATCTCCCATCCTTAACAGGGATGAGCTCGATGTCCTCCCAACGGTACAATTGACGCAAGACATCACTTTGCACATTCTGCGGTGCAAAGAAGAAGAGGACCCAATTTGGACCAGAACACTTCGCCATCATTGCGTACAGTGCATCGAAGTCCTGCGAGGTCCATGCACTGCTGAAATTCGCGGCCGAGATGTCCACGATGGCGGCCGTGCATGCCATTTTTTGTGCGGCGGCGACGATGTCGACGGGCGCCGCCATAAACTCCTTTGACCGCATGCATACAGGAAGCAATGTGGTCTGCCTGCCGAGTTTGTCCCACACAAGATGGCGTGCACTTAAGGCGATCCGTTTCACCTTCGCTTGAAGCATATCGAGCTTATCGATCGCGGTGTATATAAAGACATTGAAGTGAAACGGAGCCTCCTTGTACATCACTTCTATATGCCCCAAGCCCTCACCTTGCCTTGCCTCCTCCACTCCTCCAAGTCGCCGAGGGATCGTCTTCATTAAGTTGCTATGCAGCTTCTCTCGTTCCTTCTCCCATTCATATGCGCATAACCCGTTTGAAGCATACCTCTCTTCCAGGTTCTTGTACGACATGAAGAAGTCGTCGTTCCATTCTTCCTCTACTCTTCCCTCGGCGTGAAACACGGCATAGTTGAACATGCGGACCATGTATCTCTCCTTGCGCATAATGTCGAGGAGGCACTCTGTGTTCACCGTCGGAGGTGTGACTCTCACTTTTGTTGCCACCACTTTCCCCGACATGAGCAGGAGTAGCGCGACTTCTCTCTGACAGCATGTCATGTCCCCAAAGTTCTTGAAGTACGTAGGACACAAATCCTTCCAGGACACAGTGGAGCCCTTGGGACCATCTCTCGCATATATTTGGTGGTACAAAGTCCGTTGTCCCTTGTTCTCGTCAGTGTACGGTCCGGGCAGGCACCCGTCCATCCTCCCCGACATCTCAAGTGGGATCTTGTCGTCGCCGATTGGCAGCTTACCCTCCTCGAACATCGCGAAGAACTTCTCCACCAGCGGCCAAACCGTGCGGGTGGACGTGGCGAGGTTCAGGTACCCCTGGAGTTTGTTACTCCAATCCTTGCTGTATTCGTTGTCGAGTGCCTGTTTCACGAACGCCTTGTCAAACGCCTTCCCCATGCAGGCCCTCAGGAAGTTCTGCCACTTTTTCAGATGTGCAACGACGACGACATCCTTCTGGCTGACCTTAGCTTTGGATGCCTCGATCCTATTGTTGTCGATCCACCATTGCCTCATATCACGCACAGCGTCCTGGACGGATAACATCATGGCGCGATTCTCCCGTGTGTTGTCGAGGAGGGAGACATTGAAGTACCCGTGTGTCTGGTCATCATCGAAAAAGATGAATCACACTTTAGAGTACGTGCGGAGGCCGTAGACTTTGACCACGGGGGAATCCTTTGCAACCAACCGTTTCATGGTCTCGACAGTATGCTAACCGCAGACAGCGTATCAGTCGAACTCTGCAAAGTCTCTTTGGAAGAACTCCTCTGGCGTAATTCGCCTTCCCTGCCCGCCAACGATGACGTTGGGGTCAACCGGTGCAAAAACGAGCTCAGGTCTATCCCACACCCCCGGATCAGCACTTATGGAGCTTTCTATGGCACTCTCGATGCCTCTCACAATGTTCTCAGACAACGAACGATAGTTAAAAATGATCTTCCCACGGGGAATGGGTTTGATCCTATTATCGTCGACGTTAATAACATGGACGTCTTGCCTGGCAAAGCCCTGTTCGTCGTATCCGAGGAAGAAACATCGTGTCGTGTCGAGGGGCGCGGCGTGCTGAACCAGCTCTTCAATGTCTTCGGGCATGCGAGGCCCCACCCCCTCGCCCTCATCCCCTGAGTCCCGCAGCTCAGGTGCCCTGGACCTTTACGAGTCTTTCCTACCGCCGCCGCGACCGCCCCCACGACTGCCACTTCGCCCCCCCCAACCAGTTTTCCGAGGAGCCCGCGCTTCCTGTGATGCCATCAATGCTCCGCGAGCTTCATTGACGGCGTCGACTCTCGCCTGTTTTGTTCGACTCGCAAGAGAGGTCGACGCCCTCTTTGCTTTCCCCGTGAGCCAGGTTCGTCTCTCCCATCCTTCGTCTGGTCATAGGACTGCGACATTCCGCAGGAGGTCACAGGCTGGCCACCAGCATCGACCGCGTCACCGACGCGGCAGGCGTCGTCCTCACGGCGCCCCCGCGATTCATTCAGGTGGCAACGGTGAAATTAGGAGGAGCGATTGTCTTCGACTTTCTCACCAACATCGTCTCGCTCCTCGTCCATGCCATCATCCTCACCTTCAATATCTCCTTCGTTACCGTCGTCCCCCTCACCACCGCCCTCCTCCTCCTCACCACCGCCGTCCCCCTCCTCACCACCGCTCTCCCCATCCGAACCACCGCCCTCCCCATCGTGGGCCTCACATTCGTCGTCATCGAAGGCACCTGCACCTCCCCGGGAACGATGCTGGGAACCAGCCGGATAGCGCACAGCTCCGTCGTCGTAGTCTGTGGCCTCGCTGGAGTGCTCGGCCGCATCGCGACCTTGCCGATCCGAGGGCGGAACCGGAGCGGGCAGAGCTTGGACAACCGCAACCGACGAAGACGGGCAGTCACCAATTGATTCCTCTTTCCAACCGCTCGGCCGACTGATCCTGGTGCCGTTTGGGGCCCGAGTCAATCGGCACGAAAACACAGTCAACTCGCTGGGCAGCAGGCAGCCTCGCGAACTCTTCCCTGTATCGCATAACGAAAGCTGCGAGTTGGTCCGTCGGGCTGTTGAATTGGACCAAAGGCCTGCTGAGCATGAAAGCGTTGTCGACGACAGGCAGGGACCCAGTCACGCGGTAGCCATTGGTTTTGGAAAGAAACTTTTCCGGATCCAGCATTTGGAACTCCGTTCCGTTCCCGCGCACGTCAAACACTTTCATCGACAAAGCCTTGACCCCGTATCCTTGGAAGAGCCGATGCTCAAGCGACACCTTCTTGTCTTCCTTGACCCAGTTTTTCCCCTCTCTGTCATAGACAGACGTAAGGAAGAAGGTCCTGAACTTCTTGCCATCGTAGGTGAACCTCCCTGCTTCCGATTTCTCCACCCCTCCGCAGCAGTACCAACTCAGGCCGTTGTCATCGCTCAAGAATACAACAGCTCCGCAACCCGGCGTATGAAGGCCACCGACCCAATCAAGAGCCCATGGTTTGTCGTGGTAGAGCTTAGACCTGTCGTATGACCGTTTTTCGGGGGCAGAGCTAGACGCTCATTTTCCTGAAGGGTCGCACAGAAAAAGAGAACAAGAAAACAGAACTAAGTGACACGAAGAAGCATTCGTCGCGGCATGGGAGTTTCGCTACCGCCCCACGCAGCGGGTCTGGCGTTCCTAGAACGCCGAACCCCACGACAGTTGTGTGTGCGGGTCTGGCGTCCCCAAAGTAGCAGACCCCACCAGCGTGCCTGTCGGCACGGGGGTTGGCCGGACCCCTCCCTCGCCCGCATCCTTGAGGGGGTCCGACGTCCTGGGAACGCCGGCCCCCTCAGCGTTTCATCTCCGTCCCTCCCCCTCCCTCTAGCAGCACCGAGGGGGGTCCAGCGTTCCCTTAATGCCGGACCCATCCCTCCCCCGCCCTCTCGCAGCACCGACGGGGTCCGTCCCTTCCCCTCGATAGCCATAGCACGAAGGGGGTCCCGCGTTCCCAGAACGCCGGACCCCCTTGGTGCTGCGGGGGAGGATGGGGGTCCGTCCCACCCCCTCGATGCCCACAACACCAAGGGGGGGCCCGGCGTTCCCAGAACGCCGGACCCCCTTGGTGCTGCGGGGGAGGATGGGGGTCCGTATCACCCCCTCAATGCCCACACCACCAAGGGGGTCCGGCATTCCCGGAGCGCCGGACCCTCTTTGTGCTGCGGGGGAGGAAGGGGGTCCGTCCCTTCCCCTCGATGGCCATAGCACGAAGGGGGTCCGGCATTCACGGAACGCCGGACCCCCTTTGTGCCGCGAGGGAGGAAGGGGGTCCGTCCCTTCCCCTCGATGGCCATAGCACGAAGGGGGTCCGGCGTTCCCGGAACGCCGGTACCCCTTTGTGCTGGGGGGGAGGAAGGGGGTCCGTCCCATCCCCTCGATGGCCACAGCACCAAGGGGGTCCGGCGTTCCCGGAACGCTGGACCCCCTTGGTGCTGCGGGGGAGGAAGGGGTCCGTCCTGCCCCCCTCGATGACTACAGGACCAAGGGGGTCCGGCGTTCCCGGAACGCCGGACCCTCTTTGTGCTGCGGGGGAGGAAGGGGGTCCGTCCCTTCCCCTCGATGGCCCGCAGCACGAAGGGGGTCCGGCATTCCCGGAACGCTGGACCCCCTTGGCGCAGCGGGGGAGGAAGGAGGTCCGTCCCGCCCCCCTCGATGGCCACAGCACCAGGGGGGTCCGGCGTTCCCGTCGCGCCCCCTCGCTGGGCCAGAACAGCGAGAGCGGCCGGCGCTCCGGGAATGCCGGACCCCCCTTGGTGATGCGGAGAGAAAGGGGTTATGTCCTGCCACCTGTCTCTCTCTCTCTCTCTCTCTCTCTCTCTCTCTCTCTCTCTCTCTCTCTCTCTCTCTCTCCCTCTCCCTCTCGTTGGGGAGAGGGAGATC